ATTTTTTATAAATATGATGATGGATTAATGACACCGTGTCCTTGCCATTACCATTTGTGTACTGATAAGAGTATGGATTTGACACAATCAGTTCACCCAATGCCAACGGGCATGGCATGCATGTACATGCCATGCCCAATGTGAGTTTATTTTATTAATTGATTTTACACTCAGATGGCTACGCTTGTACTAAGTCACCAACGAGCCAATTACGAGTACTGCCTGTCTCACCCATTTACCATTTTCCTTGATTTACGAAAATATTTTACGTTATCTTATTTTGCTGTTACTATTGTTTATAACATTATGGTAATTATAATGTTTATAATAAAAATAACACCATCTCTATTCATAGCATTAGTAAAAAATACTTTTTTCCTGCCAATTCAAGGAGAGGTGAAATCAGGCAAGTTCACATGGTCTACTAATTGACTCCTTTGTGGCTAAGCACTAGCAGAGCCATCTATGTGCAGAGACATTTCACAAAAAATTCAAAATGAGCACAGCATTTTTCCCAGCGGCATATGGTTAAGCAAGTAACATCTCTAACCCTCCAGATTTGTTTGTTTCTTTGTTTTCTCCCTGTTTCCTTTTTGTGCAATATAAAGAAAAAAATAATTCATTCAACACTCAACAGATGCTAGTAGAACTACCTACTTGAGAATTTTCTAAAGAAGGAATAATAAATATGAAAATCAATGTGAAGTCAAAGCTTTTAAACAAATGTCTTTGAAAAAAGTAGCTTTCTTTCCCAAATGATAGTATATCTTTCAGAAACTACATACCTCAAATCAGTTAGGAAACATAAAGCTCCATCTTTTCTGAAATTCCCAGTATAAAGTATCTATTTCTGTTTGCTTTACCTTGTTTTTCCTTAACCTTCCCATAACTAGTCTAATGGAACATTATCATGAAATAATAGTAGTAATAAAAGAAAAAGAAAATGATTATTCTCATTCAGTTGGAACATTTCTTCCCAATAACAAAGTAAATATGAGTGATTTTACCATGCTACTTAAATTTCCAGTTTTGCCAAAGCCATTATGATCTCTTCTTAATACTATAACAATATTAAGAAGAAGACTGTACCAGTAGCAAGGAAATGCATTAAAAAAAGATTAAACATTATGGAAAAGCATATCAGTACAGTATCTACATTTTACACATAAAATACAACAGCAAAGGAACTAATAAACTGTAAAATATGCAAGATACATAATCTAAAGGAAGAAAAAAATACACAGTAATAAATGGATACTCAAATCAATCATCACTTAACCCTCGGTATCCATTATTTCCACCAGCTACTGATAATCATTTATACCAAGGATAAGCCAAAACAATGAAATTGAAGGAATCTCAAGCAAGGAATGATGCATTTTGACCTTGGTTTCAATGGAATAATAATTGTGATTTTTTAAACAAAAACCTGAGATTTGTTTAAATACGTATAAATAAATTCATATGATTTTTTTTTTTTTTTCACCTAAAACTTGTGCATCTGAAGAACCATTACATTAGTATGCTTCAATTAAAAATCAAAATGACACTGAAGCATTTGACAGCACCATGGAAAATTTCTTTTACCTCCCTGCATCTAATGCCACCCTTTTACTTCAATCCTGTAAACTGGATCAAAGTGATCGCTCACCTTAAGCTGCAGTACCAGCTTGGAGAACTTGTTGGTACAAAAAATTCTTTATGAATTCATTTTTTTCTTTAGTAATAGTGGACATTTAGATTCATTCTGAATCCTGATATCCTTTCTTTTCTCTAAGGGTTAAGATTTCCAACCACCAAATCATCATTGTAAGCAAAGCTGTCAAACTACAATATAACATCCATTCAGGGTGTGTTGGATTTTATTAGACTTTAGGAAGTATTTCACATGATTTCACAAGACAGGTATTTTTTTCTATTTGAGTGTGCAAGCAAATATAAATAAATGAAAAAAATATATATAATTACAATTGTCCTTACCCTTCAATTCTGCAAGAGCCAATCTTTAACCATAGTCATTTGTTTGCTGCTTTGAATATAGCTGCTCGTCAAAAGGAAAGCTGGCATCACATCAATGAATTTTCCACTTCATCCAACTATTTTGCAAAGATTATCCAGTAACAATTGGCATTGTCAAAGCACAGTATGAAACATGCAAGAACTCAAAAAATCTGACCACTCATATAAAATGTGAGAGATCACCAGCTCTCAAGACTAGTCAGTAAATGTAGCAAGTTCACATCTGCATCAATGGAATTTCTCACATGATAGGAATCTGGAAGAACAGATATCCATACTAAACAAATTTTGTTGTATATCCCTGACCAAACTTTAAATCTTTTGAAATTTTCTGCAGTCATCACTAAATATTATTTAAATTATTTGACAAATGGTTATGAACAGAGCATAAAATGCATATGCAACTCATCCCTGACAAAAAAATAAAAAAAACATTATACTCAGAGGTAGTAATACATTATAACAGATATGAGGAAACTAAAATTATCACTCTTTGTTAGAGTGAATGAAACATGATCAACTAAGTACCTTTACATTAATCCTTTACATAATATCAACTTCAGAAATCTAAAAAAAATCTCAATAGAAGTTGCCTATCACAAGCAACAATGCAAAGTAAATGTTTTTTCCTTGTACACTGCTTCTCGATACTACTGTTTTGAACCAGATACTTCAGTTTCATTGTAATCTGCTCTCTTAAGTTTTCAAAATGAAGGGACGTATATAGGCAGAGGCGAAGTTTTCAGAACTTTCCATCCACTGTAAGCATTTCCCTTACATACCAAAAGAAAGAATAACAAATCATAGAAAAAGAAATGCACTCGAAGTCAAATCTTGAAATCCTAAATAAATTTTAAAATAATGAAAAACAGCATTAACTTCTGAAAAAGTAGAGCAGCAAAAAAGGGGGGAAAATGTGGAGTATATTACTTATCTTCACATTTGTGTCTGATGCAATATCTGATTGACAGAACCAGCCCCCCATCAGAAATGTCATTTCATACACAGGTTTTGATGCAGTCAACTAACTTCAGCTGTACAGCTCACAGGATCCACAAAAAATAGAAACTATGTTAACATACAAGGTTATATTCATTATATATTTAATACACTCTTTCTTGGTAGGATGATACATTATCCTGTGGGCGAGGTTGAAGCATAGGTCTATTGGAGGCACCTGGCCGCCTGGCTGGAGCTAAATACTCAAACATACTCTGTAGAAGAGATAAAAGGCAGTGTGTAGAGTAGAAAAAAGGCTGTCAAGTGATTTTGCTTCCAAATTATGCTTATACTTTTTTACAATCATAATTATGCAAAATGTAAAACAAATATAAAGATAAACACAATATTGGACAAATGCGTCTTTTTTTCTTTCTTTCTTTTTCTAACTTTTAGAATCACTATGCCCACACCACAATCATCAAAATGACCACAGCACAAATCACAAAGAAACCTTACCTGTGTGTGTTGTGACAACATCTTGGACAAATCACAGGGCATGGGATCAGTCCAGAAGAAATCATGGTCAAGTGCTGTTGAGGAATCTATTCTTTTGGCTGGGTCTAGTGTTAAAAGTTTGTCTAACAAATCCAGTGCCTGTAAAGTTTCAAAGAGAATTTCATTATAATTACTAGGATTGTCTGGTGGCCTTTATCATAAAATCAAAAGAATGAGTTTACAATATCTTTAAAAGTCTTCTTCTTTATACTACTTAACAATACATATAAATATACATAGATACAGGATCCTTTGTCACATCAGTCCAACCATGTATGACTGACTGAATATGTAACCTTAAATTTCCCCTCTTAAAATTCAATAAAATTTCCTACAATGGACCATACAACCATACCACTGATGCGGCACTCAGTCTTTGTGTCTTTGTTCCTTGTGTGTTACTACAAAGAAGCGTTTGATTTGTTAGATATCATTGTGATTTAGTTTCAGTACTAACAATGGCTTCTCAGCATGATGACAAAGACAAATTCAAGGACTTTCTGCTAATATGCCTATAAATACTTTCACCCTAAACCCCTTGCTGATGGGTAAAAATACGTTTTTTGTGCCAATTCAAGGAAAGGTGAAATCCTTTATAGGCTAAGCACTAGCGGAGCCATCTAGTAACAGGGACATTTCACAAAAATATAAAAAATGAGCACATTCCCCCATTTTTTATTTATTTTCCCCATCGGGAAAGGGTTAAAGAGATAACACATTGAGATTACAAAGCATTTTGCACTAGGTATAATTACATGGACTTTTTCACATTGCAAATATACATGAGGTAATGCCATTACGTATGATATGGGCTTGTGATTTTCCAAAGAACATTTCTATACCAATATCAAAAGGATTGATATTATAGGATATCTATAATGAAATATTTTGGGGAATTTTGCTTTCTAATTGTTTGGATACTTTACCTTTGAAATGTAATATGTATGATTATATATATATATATATATATATATATATATATATATATATATATATATATATATATATATATATATATATGTATATATATATATATATATGTATATATATATATGTATATATATGTATATATATGTATATACATGTATATATGTACATATATATATGTACATATATATATGTATATATATATAAATGTATATGTATATATGTATATGTATATATATGTATATACATATATGTATATGTATTATATGTATATTTATATATATGTACATATATATATGTATATATATATATATATGTCTATATATATATGTATATATATATATATATATATATATATATATATATATATATATATATATATATATATATATATATATGTATATATGTATATATGTATATATGTATATGTATATGTATGTGTATATATATATATATATATATATATATATATATATATATATATATATATATATATATATATATATGTATATATGTATATATGTATATATGTATGTGTATATATATATATATATATA